ACATTACAATAACTACCAATACTTTGCTAATGGTAGTAAAAACTAATCAGTCATTTCCATTATCATCACCCTTCTGCTTATCCTTTTACATTTTTTTTTTAGTTTTTTGAGAAATCTAGAAACTAGTAAGCTAGTAATCTACTTTAGTCAGAAGTTTTAAGCACGTTGTGTTAGGTTGTGATATCGCTACCATACACATATGGAATGTAACTTCCTGTTTATTAGACACTTGAGACACAGCCTCCTCATGGCCCCACAGGCTAACACTGCATGCCATTCAAGCATTTGGAGTCGCATACAGCACAAAACAGGAGATTTCACACTCCATTTTCTAACAGTATCCAGGATGTCTGGCATTCAGGCTCTTCCTGTGTAGCAGCCTGACCCAGTCCCTGTAAATTCAGCTGCTTTTCAGGTTCCTGACCAGGGTAAACAAACAGAACACTAATGTCCAGGGCTGAGAAAAGGAGCAAGACCAAGATCTAAGAGCAGCTGTTTGGTTTCTGTCCACTGACTGAAGAGTGAGTGTTGAAGCTTTAGACCTTCTGCCCACCCTGGCTGAGTAGAGGGGGAGGGGTAGTCACTGCCTGCTCAACCCAAGGTGAAAAGGGTGCCATGGTCCTGGAAATGGAGACGAGGTGAGAGCACTCAGTATGACTCTGCCAATTGGGTTGGGGGTGGAGTGAGCAGTTCAGATGGGTGTACTGTCTGCCTTGAGCTGTCAGGAGACAGAAATCCTTCTCTTGCTCCTTTCTCTCTCTTTCTGTGTGTGTGTGTGTGTGTCTCTCTGCCTCCCTCTCTCTCTGTTTCGCTCAGTTTCCCATCTGTATGTGATTTGGGCCCAGCTCAGGGAAGAAGCAAGCCCACAAGGGCAGGGAGGGAGGAGAGAGAAGAGAGGAAGTCCACAAAAGTTAGTTTTACAGGATTCAGCTCGGGCCGATACAAGGGGCAGCGCTGAATCTGGACATCAGGAAGAGTGGAGAAATGAAGTTAAAGACTGACGAGGCCCAGAGGACACTGCCTGTGACTGAGACAAAGACGAGGGGACGCTGGCTAAACCTAAATATGGCTGCAAAACCCCTGTCCTGCCTTTGCCTTGTCTCCATCCTCTCAGGAATTATCTGTCCAACTTCTGCCAGCCGGTTGCGGTACGAGGAACAGCAACAAACTCTCACGAAAGTAAGAATCTTAAAGCTTTCAACTGGTCTGCTGTTCATGTTGTCTGGCACTTTGCTTGGTCTGACTGTCCTGACCTGCTCCTGACATGATCCATACATGATTTTGACTTATAGGCAATAGGTCTGCTTTCTATGTGAGTAAAACATTGTCTGTTTGAAACTTTACAAAGACTCCGCCCTGTTTTGGCAGTGCATTATGTCCATGTGGGTACGTGTTTGCATTAGGGTTACCCTGAGATTAGAGCTCAGATAATCTCCGGAGATATTGTCTCCCCTGCTGTCATGTGCCTGCTGCCCCTCCCTGACAGTTTCTTAATGGAAACAAGCTGCCAGGCTTTGAGCGAAGGTCGAATGAAAGAAAACCAAGAGGCAGTACATGAGAAACCATTATGAATAAACAGCTTTAGCCTTACCAGATGAACGAAGTGTGATATGTCATAAACCCAGAGGACCTTGGAAGAAGTCTATAGAACCACCCTCATTTCTTCATGCTTGACTTAGAAAGGCAGACCTTGTAGGGATATGCAGAGATATGAAGTTGTACCGCAAAAGGCTATAGCTGGTTGTCAGTTATAGTCAGGTTATAAATAGAATCAGAAAACTATTTCTCGTTTGTTTATGAAGGGGGCATATTATGCAAAATTTGCTTTTGGCACATTTTTGTACTTCTATTTGGAAACAAAATGCCAAAAATAACATCCAGCAAGTCTTTTTCTGTTAATGTTCTTTGATTTAGAGAAAACGAGTTATTTAAAACCCTCCTGGTTATAAGGTCACAAAGACCGGGCATTGCCCTACACCTTGCAACCCTAGCCAAGCCCAGCACTTCAACTAGCCACCCAAGTTGAGCTCCACCCACTATATTATTAGAAGACAAACACATTTGGTCAGCTAGTTTTACTGCTGTGCAAGCTATACAATGGCTGCTGGAAAATCCAAGTGTTTTTGGTTGACTTGCCAGAAACCCCTACATCTTCGATGGTTGTGCAGGAGGCTCTTCTTCTACGTCTGGACCTTTAATATTCTGTTTACAGCCATTTTCATTTGTAGCAGTGAGTAACTAAATTTAATATCAACTTCCTAAAATAATAGCCAAAGTCATTTTTGCCAAAAGACGTGGCAAGTTTACTTTTCAAAAATCACTTTGGGTAAAACTTTGACCATTATTTAGGAAGATGATCATATGGATGATGGTCAGCAATGGGAGCAGAATTGGTGGGGATGAACAATAATAATATAATGATGTATCACAATAGACTCATGACCTATAGTAATAGATAACTTTTCTGTCAGAATAATCAATAATTTCTGCTATACAGAACTGTACAGCATTCTGGGGGATGTAGTCAGAGGAGAGGGTTCAGCTGCTCAACCTCTCACCACCAGCTAAGCAATGCTAAGCACTCACTAATTTGTTACCAAGCAACAGCAACATGATGCTTCATAACTGCTTAAAGTGGTAGTGTTATGTAAAATGGACTTTTTTGATCATGTGATAATGTTATTCCCTCATCTCAAGCATACCTGGAGTGTTGATTTGATTCTTTTTTTGAATGTTTGAGAAATCCTTTAATCTCCTTGGCAACCATTGACCTGTGCAAAATGTCTGAGTGGACCTAGCTCCACCTACGAGATGTAGCTCCACTTCCTTATATTTGATATATACAGCATTTTATAACATCTGAAGATTACATAGTTACTTGATTGTGCTATGAAATGATTCTATGTTGTTGGAAAACACATAAGACTATCCCTTTAAAATTAACAGCAGTGTGTGGGGTGAAAACTATGGATAAAACAGGATAGGTCATGCCACCGCTTTGGCAGCATTTAAGATAGTTAAAACTGAAAACGAATCAATAATTATCAATATTGACTTATATCGTGTTGCGTTTCTTAGTCATATCCTAAGAAGCAGCTTTCATTTTTTAGTAGCAACATTACAAAAACCCTCTGTTATGTCTACCACAGTCGGTCTTCCCACTGCATCCATTACAATACACAAAGCTGCCTCTCAGCCAGTCCACTCCAGCCGCTTTCTGATGTTGCATTCCGGTATTTACAATGCATCAGTTCAGCTTGAACTGCCTTCAGAAAGTTCTGCAGAGCTGCCGTCAAACACAATAACAGGATCTGGTTCTACAGATGAACGGTTTGTAAAGTAAATACTCTCTCTGGCACTGCAGCTTCATGCCTGTGCAGCCACACCATCTTTCTATAGTTTTTCAGGAAGCCTTTATTTCTGCTGAGTGTGTACAGTAAGTTTGGGAGAATAAACCTTCAGTCACATCTCTTTATCATGTGTTTGTTTGGTTAGATTTTCCTGCAGTGAGGAATAAATCTGGAATAAAACAGCCTCACTCATCTCCTCCCATTGCTTTATGCTGTGCTGTTATTATAATAGCTCGGAGAAGTGGGTGGTGAAGGTTGGGGGGTATCAGACACTAGATTCAAGTCTGGTGAACATCCTCAGGAAGACTCAGATCCCAGGTCATGAGAATCTCACCCGGCCTCAAAGTCTCAGGCAGCGTTTCCTCTCAGGGGAATCTGAGGTCAAAAATGTAAGAAAACAAAGAAAGAAAACAAAGGAGAAGCGGAGGCTCTGGTTTAGTCAGACTACGCATTAGAGATTAAACATCACAGACTCTGCTGCAGTTTTCACTCCTTTTGCTGACTGGTTTAGATTGACTTTCAACCATTAATAGTGTCACCATGTACTGGTTGAACTAATGCAGCAAAAAACATTTATTTATTTATTCATTTATTCATTTATTCATTTATTCATTTATTTATTTATTTATTTATTTTTAGGTTTGCAGCAATCTAAAAAAAATTGGGTATCTGTTTGTATCAAAAAGGTGACGCACTTTTTAGATGACATACCAAAACAATTTCTTGTCTACATATACCAGTCATCAAAATTAATTAACCAATCTGCTGCCAGTTCCAATTTTCTTCGCACAGTTACTGTGGCCAGTTACAGAGCTCACTGGTGGCAAGGCCAGGTTCACCATGGACAGGCTGAGATCATAATGAAGTGGTATCAGACACAGGGACACATGTGTCTTTGTACTGGCTGCAGGATGGACCAGGTGTGGTTTGCTGCTGTGGCACAGAGCACAACTCACATAAGGAGGGAGACGTCCCAGGTTCAAATCCTGGACTGATGACCTTTGCTGCATGTCTTCCCCGTCTCTCATTGTCTAACAGGTTGGATGAACTACAGGATTCCCTTATGGCCATGGGCTGCGGGTTCTGGGGATATCCTAATCCTTAAAAGAAAGACACCTCAGAAATGAATGAATTAATAAAAAAGTGGAACAAATAAGGCTCTATTTAGGAGCTTCTGATATTCCCAAAATCTTTCTGAAGAGGTAATAGCTTGTAGGTTTTGAGTTGGTCTGGTCAGTATTGATCTGCATGATTTTTAACAGCATTTATTTTTCCATCTAGATATCATGTTATGTTTCACTGGCCGCACATGGTTGTCATTGTGTTGGTCAGGTTGTTAGAAGGGTCATTTTAAGGCACAAAACAAGAACTAAGCTCTTGTTTGATCACATTGTTTAACAAAAATGTTGCATGGACTGAGTAAGAAGGGATGTGAAGAAGGAAAAAGTTAGAATAAGATTTCGACAGACCTGGATGTTTAGAATTAACACTCATAAAGGAAACAAGCATGTGACAAAATAACAACCATATAAATGATTTCCAGCTAAATGTAAACATTTTTATGGTGCAACAAGCTAACTCTCACTCAAATGTTCATTCCAAACCCACAACAACCAGCCGAAAACATGTCCAGAGGAGAAATAAACTGACATTTTTTTAAAAGAAATGCTGTGTGAATAGCTTTTCTGTTAGCCACTAAGGGACACTTTATTCCTGATGACAGAAAAAGAAAAAAAAACACAAGAATGCAGATTCCTGGTGAGAAAATTAAAAGTATTCTGGAGCTCCACCAACCAGCAGGTCCCTTCTGGTTCTGGTTAAAGCACAATGGAAAAACAAGTTTAATATGTGCTGAGCATTAAATTAGCTATGGCTTTCTACAGAATGCTGCTTCCCTTCATAATTAGTTCTAGCTTTGTTTTACTTGGTTCTTGTTCATATTTTTCAGCCTAATCATCAAATGTAACTCGGCTATTAAAACATTTCAATGTTTGAACTGAAGCCTACCTGCACAAAAGTAATTTTGCATTAAACTTTTGACAATTTAATGGACAAAGAGAAAGTTTTAGAGAAGTTTGTGCCATGTGCTATCCCAACCCTTAATCCTTAAAGCCCCCCAGGTCCCATGACCCCCTGCAGCTGTTTGACCCAGCACAGTCATCTGTCATCTTCCAGTTTTCTATTGCGTTAGTTGCCTTTTCTATAAGCTTGTGGTATTTCTTTTTTATTTCAGCCAAGGTAACTGAGAACATTTAAAACTTTCTCGGGATGTTTTGCATGGCAGCATGACACTTGAGTGTATAGTAACGTAACGTCTCTCTGTGTATACTGATAGTGAGGGAACCCACAGGAAGTCTGTCCTGTGTGGGAGACAGCATTCTGTTTTTCAGGATGTTTAACATGAGCTGGCCACAAACGTATCTTTGTCTCACAGTCCATCTGTGGATTAAACACAGTATGAATCATGAGCATCCACAGCTGGTCGTCTGTGGAATGTTCCACCCTCTGAATGTCAACGTCCGGCTGGCTGCATGCAGCAGGGAGGTCAAGCGCCTGGTGTCCTTCTGGCCGCAACTCAAAGTGCCATTGTAGGCATCATTGAAAACTGCAGCTCCTGAAGTTCAAAGGTGACCTGAGGATGTAAGAGTGTGTGTGAGACACCAAGAGAGACGGTGTGGAACATCCTGAGACATGAGACAGGAAGCTTCAGCTCAGACCTGCTTCCTCAGAACATGCTGATATGAAAGAGACTCCATTTCAATAGATTTAGGAGGATGGTTGGAAAGCAAAGAATGGATTACAATATATCGGGACTAACGTCATTATATTAGACATAATTTAACACATTAGTTTTAGTTTGATATTAATAAATATGTATTTCCATCTTGCTATTATTTGCTTCTCAGATAGTTGTGGTGGTGGGGAGCAGGGATGCTGACGTGGTATTTGTTTGATCATGCAATAATGATACAGCTGTCATGAAGTGGTTGTGGGTGGTGAGGAGAGACGCTGAGACCCAG